AATCCCAGCCAGTCCACAGGACAGTCACTCCCTCTATTGCCAATGTCTGTCTTGGTAGTCTATAACTCGGTAAAAGTGTGCAATTCATGGCGATATGATGTAGACTGCAGCCAGGCACTTGGACGATTTCCTTGCGATCAATCAAGCCAGCAAAGGAATAGTTCAAGAGAGACTTTTGGATTTTGGCCAAAAGTTCCTGCTACAACTGTCATTCGCTCTACTGCCAATGTCTGTCTTGGTAGTCTATAGCTCGGTAAAAGTGTGCAATTCATGGCGATGTGATGTAGACTGCAGCCAGGCACTTGGACGATTTCCTTGCGATCAATCAAGCCAGCAAAGGAATAGTTCAAGAGAGACTTTTGGATTTTGGCCAAAAGTTCCTGCTACAACTGTCATTCGCTCTACTGCCAATGTCTGTCTTGGTAGTCTATAGCTCGGTAAAAGTGTGCAATTCATGGCGATGTGATGTAGACTGCAGCCAGGCACTTGGACGATTTCCTTGCGATCAATCAAGCCAGCAAAGGAATAGTTCAAGAGAGACTTTTGGATTTTGGCCAAAAGTTCCTGCTACAACTGTCATTCGCTCTACTGCCAATGTCTGTCTTGGTAGTCTATAGCTCGGTAAAAGTGTGCAATTCATGGCGATGTGATGTAGACTGCAGCCAGGCACTTGGACGATTTCCTTGCGATCAATCAAGCCAGCAAAGGAATAGTTCAAGAGAGACTTTTGGATTTTGGCCAAAAGTTCCTGCTACAACTGTCATTCGCTCTACTGCCAATGTCTGTCTTGGTAGTCTATAGCTCGGTAAAAGTGTGCAATTCATGGCGATATGATGTAGACTGCAGCCAGGCACTTGGACGATTTCCTTGCGATCAATCAAGCCAGCAAAGGAATAGTTCAAGAGAGACTTTTGGATTTTGGCCAAAAGTTCCTGCTACAACTGTCATTCGCTCTACTGCCAATGTCTGTCTTGGTAGTCTATAGCTCGGTAAAAGTGTGCAATTCATGGCGATGTGATGTAGACTGCAGCCAGGCACTTGGACGATTTCCTTGCGATCAATCAAGCCAGCAAAGGAATAGTTCAAGAGAGACTTTTGGATTTTGGCCAAAAGTTCCTGCTACAACTGCCATCCATTCTCATCGCTGAGCATCTAGTTTATGCCAGTAGATATTATCTTGAGGGATGGACTGCAGCCAGCAAGTTGTACACTCAATGTACATTCTACATTGCCTCTAAATCAAAACACCAAATGCTTTAGTGAGCATTGCAAAAGAAAGAGACTGGCTGATTGGAGGAAAAGTCTCTTCTAGAACTACGATCAATTCTCATCGCTGAGCTTCTACTTCATGCCAGCGAATATTCTATTGCGGGATGGACTGCAGCCAGCAAGTTGTACACTCAATATCCATTCTACAGTGCCTCTAAATCAAAACACCAATGCTTTAGCGAATGCGTTAGTGAGTATTGCAAGAGAAAGAGGCTGGCTGATTGGAGGGAAAGTCAGCTAGAACTACGATCAATTCTCATCGCTGAGCTTCTACTTCATGCCAGCGAATATTCTATTGCGGGATGGACTGCAGCCAGCAAGTTGTACACTCAATGTCCATTCTACAGTGCCTCTAAATCAAAACGCCAATGCTTTAGTGAGTATTGCAAGAGAAAGAGACTCGTTGATTAGGGGAAAACCTCTAGTTCATGCCAGCAAATATTCTATCGATAGAATATTTGCTGGCATGAACTAGACGCTCAGCGATGAGAATTGATCGCAGTTCTAGCAGCAACTTTTCCCCAAATCAACGCGTCTCTTTCTCTTGCAATACTCACTAAGGCATTGGTGTTTTGATTTAGAGGTACTGTACATTGAGTGTACAATTTGCTGGTTGCAGTCCATCCCTCGATAGAATATTTGCTGGCATGAACTAGACGCTCAGCGATCCGAATTGATCGCAGTTCTAGCAGGAAGGTTTTCCCTTAATCAAGGCTAGAACTATGATCAATTGATTCTATTAGTGTCTAGTTCGTGGCAGGGTGATACCGATATATTGTAGTAAAAGGCGGACTATAGTAAGGAACTTGAACGCTAGTGAATATTTAAAGAGAGAGAGAAGTTGATTTTGCAAAAATGAAGGCTAGAACTACCACCGCTTCTATTAGTATCTAGTTTATGGCAGCGTGATACTGATATATTGTACTAAAAAGACGGACTACAGTAAGGAACTTGAAGGGTAGTGAAGGGTATCTAGTTTCTAGCAATGGATATATAAATCCAGAATACCAATGCTGTAGCGAGTATTGAAAGAGAGAGACTGCTTGATTTTTGCAATAATCAAGGCTACAACTACGATCAATTGATTCTATTAGTGTCTAGTTAATGGCAGGGTGATACCGATATATTGTAGTAAAAGACAGACTACAGTAAGGAACTTGAACGCTAGTGAATATTTAAAGAGGGAGAGAAGTTGATTTTGCAAAAATGAAGGCTAGAACTACCATCGCTTCTATTAGTATCTAGTTTATGGCAGTGTGATACTGATATATTATACTAAAAAGACGGACTACAGTAAGGAACTTGAGCGGTAGCGAATCTTAAGGATAAAATCATTCTTAGGAATGGCCGTAACAGATATATATCAATCCAAAATACCAATGCTGTAGCGAGTAATTAAAGAGAGAGAGAGAGAGAGAGACTCCTTCAACGACGATCAATTCTATTAATATCTAGTTCATGGCAGTGTGATATTGATATATTGTACTAAAAGACGGGGAACTACGTTAACAAATTTGAACGGTACCCATCAATCAAAAACGCCAAGGAAAAAACAGTCAATGATTAATCCTGTAATTAGTTACTGGCAAGGGGATAGTTGATCATGGAACTTTCGCCATCCTAAGTTATAATGATGATAAAACTCAGCTATTATGAAATAGAACTCATCATCTGCTCCGTATACAGTCGCTAGAAAGAAGATTAATCCTTCAGTAAATTCTTAACTGGTAGACGGTAGGATAATTGATCTTACCCCTGTCAGACATTACAAATAGGGCTCTACGATTAATCTTCAGTAGCTATCATTACTCATTCCATGTGTTGTACAAGCAGTAGGAATAATGCATGAAATAATCCAATGTCAACTGTTGTAGAAACGGGAATTATCTTACTGCCTATCAGATATTACAAATACAGTATATACTCTACCATTAATCTTGAATCGTTATTACTCTTTCCAAGTACATACAGTCGAGATGACAAACGAAAAATTCACAGAAAATCTTCCAGAAGTATAAGTAATCTCACTATACAGCACAGTACGAGTATGCAAATAAATGCCATTAAACGAGATTATCTGGAGTAAATAGAAACTTTTCAGTAGCCATTGCTCTTTTCATGTACGCGTACTATGACAATATATATATACAGTTACAGTAGAGATAATTGATGTACTTTCAGAAACAACCTAATGGAAACTGTTCCAAGAACGAGCGTTATAGAATTCTTGTTTCTGCGACCGTTTACATTAAGTTATAAATCATTAACAAACAGTAGGATACAGTGTTAACCCTCGTTTCTGAAATAGTCTGCATTATATATTATAGCGTGTCTAATCGCTTTATATATACATAAGAAGAGCAATGACTACTGAAAGTTAATCGTTCTACATTACAGATAGTGCGGCAGTCCCCTGAAACAGGATGTTGTCATATTATATCGCTCGTAATAATCTTAACGCTTCCAATTAGTTTAACAGCAATGAATAGTAAACAGATTATGCGATAAACTTTCTGAGGCCATGGCTCTTCCCATGATCTACTAAAATTTTCATATTTAAATATGGACTCAAAAATTAGCAGTAGAAAGGCGTTCAATTTCGTCATGATATTTGTATTTAGGATGTAATAATGTGTCCAATTTGGAAGCGAAAGATGGCAAGTTACAATATACGACTAGAACCTAGAATCGAGATACATGTCTAGTAGATTCAATTTAGGAAAAAGGCATTTTTTATTATGGTCAATAGAACATTTACGTGACTAATCATCAGGAATTCACCGACTAAACTTGACAGTCAACATAACAAAAATGCCATAGTTCAATAGTAATATGGGCATCGATAGCACAAAATGGAACCTGTTTTAAACGGTATATCGTATCTCACTCAAACAGTTTGCCTAAAATCTGCTTATTGCAATCTACAGTTTCCTAAGATAATCCCAGACTATTTTACTACCTACAGTGGTAAATTAGTCATTTTTCGTTTATTTGGATAGGCAATGCATATCAGGAGAATAGGAGAATAGGAGAATATTCTACATCAGACTATTCTAAAAATTGCCGTTACTGGAAATGAATACTCGACAGATCGCTGAACTTTATTTAGATATTGCGTACGGTAGATTATTACTCTACATGAATGGGCCTAACGTAATGAAAAAGGAGAGATCATCAAGTAGAACTTGTTATACTAATTTAGAAGATACAGCAGAGGATGATGGCATCATTAGTTACTCAACTTAGACTTAATTGAATGGCTTATTGATGGTAATATCTATGTATAGATTGCATTAAGAGTATCTTGCATTGAATTGAAATTGTAATATTAACCATTTTTACTCTATTCATCAGCTTGGTAATGCCTAATATAAGCATTCAAAAAGCCAATAGTTTGTTAATTACAGCTACATTCTGTCTAATATAAAGCGTATGGCAAATATTTTCAAGACATAATTTCTCTTACCTGTTCCGCAAAGACATTGGATCGAGCGACAATATCTTGGACCACTTTAGCTGTCGATTGGGCGTAAAAAAAGACTTTTATCTGACTTTGATCTATCTTCAGGTATTGATTCTACAATTGCTTTGGGATTTTTCCAAGTATTCAAAATCTCTCAAGGTAGAAAACTTTTCGAAAACGAATACTCAAAATGGTTTGTTGCTATTCTTTCGTGTTGATATTCCTAATGCTGTCTATTGGCCAGTCGACAGCAGTTCCAATGAACTCCAGTTTTCACGCAAAGACCAAATTTTCCCTATCTGAAAATGTACAATGTTGCTGCCATGAAACAGTAGCCTTTTGCGATCTTCACCTGAAAGACAATCTTGTCATAACCAATAAATGTTTCTCCTACGTTACTACCCTAACGTTAAATGAGCCTGCCGTGGGCACCATCAAAAAATTCCACGCTAACTTTACAAGAAATATGCAGCATTTAATCATCAATGGTGGCAGAGTCGATCTGGCCGAATTTAATGTCTTTATCAATTCTTCCTTGATGATGCTTACCTTAAATCAAACGACAATCGATGGACAAGAACATCCACTGCCTGCAATTGAGACAATTAAAATCTATCAAACTAATTTAAATCGTTTACCTTTTTTCCATCCTAGTTTCAATCCGAGGAAAAGATCGCTAGGAAAATATGTGGGCAGTTTACTTTTGGACAATAATCAAATCAAAAATACCGATGTGGATATTATGTCAGCTGGAGTCTATGCTCACTTGGAACGTTTATCACTTCGTGGCAATCAAATTTCTAGTCTTGTAAATTTTGAAATTTTAAACTTTATGCAAGGGTTAAAATGGTTGGATTTATCCAATAATAGCATCAGTACAGTTGACAAAATGACTTTAGCACCGTTAATTCAATTGCATTATTTATCGTTAAAAGATCAACGGATTACTGGGCCTTTCCAATTTCAAGCCGATTTATTAGATTCGTTATTAACACAAATTAATCATCGATGGCAATTACGCATTGAGTTACCGCAATATGTCTATTGCAATTGTACTACATCTTGGATTCAATCTTGGATTTTTAATTCCAATCCAGATTACTTTGTTGCTAATTATGATCAAATTGCATGCTTTAACAAAGTATTGCCAGGCAACAGTCAAAGGGCAATTAATCGTGTCGACTTTAGTCGTTGTCTATGTCGGCAGCATGATTGCCATGATCCAATGTCATATTGCCATTACTATACTATTAACGGTGGTTTTGCAGCGGATTGGCAATGTGGTAAAGGATATGCAACTTACTTTGATGGGAGCGATCTTCGTAAACGATGCTATCCATGTAAGTTAACATCATATCTCATTTTAGCTGATGTATTAATTGCATTTATTTTCTATTTTCCTATTTCATACCAAATGAAAAGGGGGAAAAAAAACATTTACTTAAGGCCTCAAATTTCATAGTAGTATGATTATTCTATTTCCATCCATTATTAAATAAGTTAACACTAAATCTCATTTTAGCTGATAGATGGATTGTATATACTATATTTTCATTTTCCCATTTCATATTAAATGAAAAGGAAAAAAAAGATTTATTACTTGATGCCTCAAATTTCTTCAGCAGCATGATTGTTCTATCTCTATATTTTATTGAACAAGTCAATACTGCATCTCATTTTAGCTGATGAATAGATTGCATATATTTTCTATTTTCCTATTTCATATCGAGTAAAAAAGGAAAGAAAAAATCTTTTTTACGCCGTACATCAAATTTCATAGTACTGCATTTTTTATTGAATAAGATCTACCAAACTTAATCATAGAGGTTACCAAAAGAGGACGATGCAATTAAAAGTCTTCTTCATACAGAATAGTATTAAAATACTGTACTAGCGTAGAACAGTCAATAGAAAATTTCTACTGTAGTAAATAGAATTTTCAAATTCTTGATCTTTCAGCTAATATATCCTTCAAACCCTTTTAGTTAAAACGGCCTCATGTCGACATTCTGGAACAGAACTGTCCTGCTCAGGAAATGGTTATGATAACGTTCTCCGGCGAGAAAATTTGGGTGATGCAGCTACAATATACCGTAAAGTTTTCGACAATAATAATGTATTCCTTTCTACGCTTCATTTGTTTGGCTTTAATTTTGCAAATCAAAGCGATTTAATTGCGACTATGGCTCTGATCCATAGTCATTACTTCACTTTATCTGTCAGTAAAATCGTTATTGAAGATTGTATTTTACCCCAATTGGATGTTTTTCCATTTTTAAATCCGTTATATAGCGCGCCTATAACAGAATTGGTAATAAGAAATTCTCATTTGCAATCCATTACTTTGCCGCATCCAAGACTTGTACCAAACTTGCAAAAATTGTACTTAGAATATAATAATTTAAGCGCTTTTCCAATGCCACCAGCGCCATACGGAAATTTAACTTTGTTGATGTTAAAAAATAATGCTATTCAAGATATTCCGTCAGACTTCAACAATATGTATTCGAGATTAAGTAAAGTTGATTTAACCTATAATTCTATCCAACAAATACCAACACATCTTCTGGATAAATGGCGTCGAAGTCGTTATACATATGTAGATTTATCTTATAATAATATTAAAATATTACCTACGTCTTTAGCTGAAGTGATCGTGACTAGGTCAGCTAGGATGTATTTTGCTGATTTGCTTGATTATATAGTCGTTCCAATTCGTTTAAGAGGTAATTTAATTCCATTTGATGCTTTAATTGCATTTACATCCAAATTGCTAATGGATAACGGTAATTGTATGCCACGTACTGGTCAATTTAGTTCTAATCAGAGCCACGTAATGTTCTATCAGCAACATTTTTTCGATACTTATCTACCATGTAATTGTCATTTTGCCTTACAATTAAAACCATTATGGATCAAATGCTTAAATTTAACACATCGTTGCTCGAATCAAGGCATTCAACCAGGACAGCCTCTAGATTCGTTATTACATCATCGGTGTAAGTGCAGTAAAGAACGTGATGTATGTGTACCATTTGGAATTTGTCATGAATCATCGACAGAATTGGCATCATCTTGCGTTCTCGATTTCAGAGCAAGGCGTAGCAGTGTTCTATCGCAAGGCACAATCGGCGATTTACTGTGCTATAACATATCGGTTATAGTCTCGCCATCGACACTTCCTTCAATCATTGCACCACCATCGAAAAGTTTATCGACATCGACAAGCTTTACAAGTATTGTAACGAGTAGTTCGATTGATGACATTCAACTGACTCAAACGGAAACAGTAAAAAATGACTATGATAGCTCAGTAACAAATATTTCATCTAGTCCATCGAAAGCGCCATCCAATCATATCATTATTCCACCCGATAGTAAGAAACCTGAGCCTACTCCATCCATTGCTATTACTACAATGCCCTCTTTGAATCGCTCTACTAATAATTCTGAATTTCAAACTAATCCTATAACACCGACATTAATCGCAAACGCTTTTGGCGGAGGTGATGAGAAAGTTGCCTATGGTAGGTTCATAGTATGAATCATTCTATCGGCATTGCATGTTCGTATTTGAAGTTCATGATGCAATTTTTAAGATATTGGCTAAATTAAATTCATTCAAATCGAATCAATTTCATTTACATTAGAAAGTCATTAACAGCTAATTCTATAATATTGATAAATTGTTATATTTCATCTTATACAGAATTTAATAATTTATTAACGATTATGTTTTATTTTTGGCTCGTATTGTTATGGTGCTAAATTAAGTACTTGTATTTATTTATGACCTTATTTGACTATCGTATTAGCTGTGTAAAATCAAATTCCTAAATTTAAAATCGTCCACGACTAGTTAATAAGTAACAGCAACATCTTGATGTTCGACAGTACTGGTCGACTGTTTGATGATGATGAAAATGACAATTTTTTTTACTTTTAGGTGTGGCTGGGGCTTTAGCCTGCGTTGTTATAATAGCCGTAGTCATAGCTTATGCAATTTACAAAAATAAATGGTAAGATAATAACGCAAGTTATAAGGAATAATTTAAATTATTGCATCATTATCGTTTTCGTATTCTAGTGATTTAAAATCAGTAAAAGGTTTTACTGACAATTTAAATAGCTGCTAATTTGAGAATATCGCAATGTTGTTTGGCTTATCTTTAGGGGATTAGGCAAGTACAATTGCTTTGCGAAATCGGATATAAGTCAAAAGTAAGTAAAATTGAGCAAATGTTTAAAATCAATATCTTGCAACATGCCATTCTTTTCTTACCATAACTGAAGGATACTTAGAGCCTAACAGACAATTTTTAGGATTATTTAGAATTAGCATAGAAAATTAATTTCTCTACTGATTTGCAAAATAGTATTGCATAGACTGCAATAGGTTACAGAATAATTGAAGTACCATTTCTAAGTAATACATTTTTAACCTAGGGCTTTGGTGAACAATGAAGTTCTGAATCCGTTGAAATGATTAATCCTGAGTAAAGTTTAAGCTTGATTAATTTTCAAGCAATGAACAGATCTTTAGTAAAGATGTAATAGAACTCATGAATCTGTATTAATAGATACGTTTAATTTGCATTATATTTCCTGAGTTAGTACCGTAGATCTGTTCAATCAATGTATTTTCTTAACAACATACTCTTATAATCGTTTGATAATACGTATAATGTACATATATACATGGGTATCCACTGAAATTGTAACGTGGATAAAAGCAAAATAATAAAAAATTAATCACAAACCAAGCCATAAATTCATACTAACATTACGTTGAAAGTCAAAACAGAGACACTAGAAAATCTGCTCACTGTAAACAGGCAACAGTAATTTATTAATTTTCACAGCGGAATGCTTGCATATTGAATAAATTTGCTTACTTGATAATCGAATACCAATTTTTGGCAACATTTACATTGTGTACAGAAGACATTTACAGTTTTTTAATCAGATAGGTAGAATCATACTGTAGAGATAAAAAATAATGGGGCTTTTTAACTCTATCGAAATAATAACAAAAATTTTTATTACGTTCCATAATAATTTAAGAGTTGATATCAGACTGTACAGTATAATTACGAAGATATCCTTTACGTCGAGAGACTGTTAAATTCGTGGTTAAAAGACGTTTTTCTCTGCACTATACAATGCTTTACAATGAAAGAAAAAGCGATTTCTATCGCTTTCAATATGTCTACAGTCGGTAATATGGCTTCCAAACTCTCACTGTCGTGTATATTTGATAAATCATGCGAAGAAGAATTGTCACTATTCGAGATATCCATGTCGTTACTATTGCTTTCATTTACTTGTACGATTCCGTTGGATATGCCACTTGCAGTAGTGCAATCCACACTTGCATCAGGGGTTACATAATTTGAATTATAGGTAATTGCTGTTTTAGCCGGTGAAGATGTCGATGAATGCATAATCCTTCCACACTGAAGGAGTAATGACACAATATCCTCACACATTGGAGGAAAAGCGTATCCGAATCTTGCTAATGCTGGTAAAACTGTTCTAATTAGTTGATTCAGTGCATTTGCAGGAAGCACAGATAACATTAAAGTGACATGTTCAAGAATTTGGTTAGCAACATCCATGGACTTTTGAAGAGGATAGTGTATTGCTAAATGTGAGGCCAGTGATATACCGAATAACTGAATACAGATAATTACAGATAATTAAGTAATGGAGGGGAAGGTATGCATTGAATTAAAAAGATACAATCAACTACAATTTCATTATCTACGGAGCTATATACATACTTGCTTGTCCAGTTGAGGTTGATTGATCAATTCTGGAATAAAATCTAAACATACATGCATAGATGGTACACCAGCAACCATCATGGAGATAAGTTCACTGGGATAGGACTAAAAAATAAATGCAATAGTCATTGATGATGTTACCATCATAATTTACAATGCTATAGCAGAGTAAGACCATAACTGTCTTATCATTCTACAATTCTTTAAACCTGAAAGTGGACCAGCTTGGTAATATTCGGATATGATATAAAGACTTGATGCAAATGGGAGCATATGATGCTCCGAATCTCCTGCAGTTCGCTAAGTCGTAACGACTGTTGCTAATACAAGAATAATAATTACATGTTAGAGCAACATAGAGTAGCTAAATATTTAAGATGCTATCAATACAACCTGATGATCTTCATTCGTTGGGAGGCAAATCTCCAACAGTATTTGAATTGCAGCTGTTTCCTGGACATAAATAAAGGCGCTTTTAATTCCTTCTTTCCCTTGTATTTCTTGGTTATTTACGATATTGGCAGATTTTTCTTGTACAATGTTATTTAGAGATGCGCGAAACGCTGTCATGTAAGTATTTAGGATATGGAGTACTATTTCAAAAATAGGTGGGCACCTACAAATAACAATTTATTCAATTCAGTAAACTAGTAAATATATATTAAGTCCTTTAATTTGAAAACTTACCTAAAGACACGCTTATCACATTTTAATATGATTAAGGGGGTAACAGTCAGACTTTCAGCAGATATGACATCTAATTGTTCCGGCAGATCCGTCATTTGTGATCGATATAAAGCCTTAATAGTAGGTATCCATAGCCTAAAAAGGTAAATTATGTACTCTTTAGCATTATTACACATTTATTCATTATCTTAGAATTAATCGACTACAAGATACTAACTGATGAGACATAGCAGCGGACAACCTATACCACAATTTGTTCACCATCAATGCAATCTTGCGCGGAGTATCTTCTTCAATCATCAATGGTAGTGATTTGATTACTAAATTAGAATAACTTAACAGTGATTCCATAGGCAAGGACATTAACTGCGTCAGTAATAACATTGCCGCCATTGGTTGGGTGAAGGATTTTTCTAAAGCTGTAAAGCGGTGCAACAGTAACTTCAATTTAAAGCAAGTTATCAACATTATGTACACAACTTATCCAAGATCATATACTATATACCTTTCCAAGCCATCTCGTGATTAATTAGAATTTGCCGGATGTGTTTTGGTATAAATACCGGAGTGTCACCTTTGACTACGCTTTGATTTGCTCTTAGCTCAGAGTTATGAGATTGAGTCAGCTCTTCTTGCATTTCTTCAACTTTTAGCCAGTGATCCACCATACATAGCTGACGGTGATGTGTTACTAATAGACGAAGTAGCATAGGATAGATCTCGCCGTAGTCTTCCTGGTGACTTTTAGCTTCCAAGAACAATTTTCGTATAGGCAGTTGCGATATTAGCGCCTGGCTGTAAGTTTTTCTTGCACTAATCTTAGTTTGGCTGGTTACTAAACATTAATAAGATGTTATAGTGAATTGAGGAAGAAAATAATGTAGCTAGGTAAGTAATTAATCGTGTATACCTGGCTTTTTCGTCTTATTTACGAAATGATCTTGATATGCCAATACATAATACAATACTAGAACCTTACTAGCAAGGCTGATATCATCGTGAAATATAGATATAACTTCATCGTCACTGAAACCTTCCAATACAAACAATTTCTGATCATCTGGGTTAATATTAAATTTGCTCTGCGTTGATGAACCGTCGTAAAATAGTAGATCTACAAACGCTTCAATGACGCGAGGCATTAAAGAATGCAAAGGTGATTGCGCTGCTCGAATCTGATTATATAGCCAAGTCTATCAAAATAATATTTAAAAGGTTAATAATATTAAGTGCAATATCATACGTCGGCAAAGACGATACGTGGATAGATAATCATCAGTTTTTAGCATTAAGTAATTACTGTACATACCTTAACTTGGACATTATGCTTATAAAATGCTTTCATTCGAAGTAGTTGGTAAATACAGTGTATTGGTAAGAAGCCATCAACATTTGCATTTAAACTGGGTGTTACGAGAACAGTAACTGCGTGTCTTGTTAAAGCCTACAACAAATGTGCTAACAGATGAGCAATAATAGAAATTGCAGCTGCTAGTTAATACTGTAAAAAAAATAAAGCAATCAGTTTGGATTGTTAAAATCAACTATTAACCTGTTCTTTAAAAATAACTTGTGTGAACATAATTTTCATTCTTGATAATGATTCTGATTTTATAGGAAGCTGCATGTCGATAAATTAAAAATTGCAAACAAGTAAGTAAAATCCTCATATGATGGTGAGTTTGCTAAGCTAATAACGTCGCATAACTTACTTTCATGCCAAGTGTTGAATTTATCAACGACTCAATTGCTGAAAATTGTGAATTAAGGAAATGAATGGCCACTAGCAGTAGCGTCTCACCAAAAGAAGCATGGACTCCACTGATGCTTGAGTGTATAAAACAAAAATCCGCTTTAATATTAACGTTTTAAATTGATGAAATTTTGATATATAAAAGAGGAATAATACCAAGTAGCACAAATAACTTTATTGCTCACATTTCTTAAAAACAGAAATAGAAGGATTTACTAAACATCTAGCTGGGTTTTACGTATTACGATTTAAACAATGGTCTAACCTTTCGTAAAATTTACTTTGATGAACTAACGATTGTAGCCATCTTAAAATAATGTTCTCAAATTCCGAAGATCTAGATTGAAATAGAATATTAGGATAGCTGGCAGAAAAGAAACTGAAAAGAATTTATGGCACAAATTGCTTACTCTGTTACTACGGGGCAAGCTAATATAGTACACAGTCCTAGGACAAGAAATCGAACGCCGGCGGCATTTGCGGGTGGTTGTAGAGTAATTAAGCGCAACAATGCTCGGCATTCTTGTCGATCAAATTTGAGTCCAGCGAAACCTTTTACAGCACAGTAGACACGTAGAATAGAACTAGCCCTAACCACTGTAGATTCGCTTATTTTTTCATCAGTAGATAAATCCTAACACCCAAAACCGATGGCTCAAATTAGCGACTGTAAGTAAACTTGATCAATTTGAATGATGTCCACACTAGTAAAATACCTGAAAACTTACATTATCTGTAATCAAATTGGAAGTATCGATATCATCCAATATAGAATTGGCAAACTTTGAATGTGAAGGGAGTAAGAAGAAGACTTCGCGTAACAAGCATAACCTTAATTTCTTAACGTGTAAATTCTTCGACTGTAATTTAGTAAGAAAACCTTGTAAGATTCAGTTGCATTTAACTACAATACACGTTTTACGAATGATAATGATAACGTACGCTTGGAATATACTTTACATTTTGTAATCTATCTTCCTACTACGCTATCATCTAAATATAAGTACAATATTGCTGTCATCTATATGTATATCGTACACACATTGATGCACAGATCAGATGTAAAATTATCGCAACTTATATTACAACAGTAAGGTCTTCTCGAATATTTTAATAAATATTTTCCATCATCAAATACTAGCTAATGTTGCTTAAAATATTATTACCATTTCAATTGCAAAACTGTTGGATGTACGTAATAGTAGATGACGAAACTGTCAAATAATTCATTTATTCGGTTATCATCTCACCTTATGGCCATTATGCAAGTATTGAGAAAACCAGTTTCGAACTTGAGAATTATTACCCAGTAATATACCGCTAACAAAGCAGACAATATCGGCATTCTGTCCTTGAATATCTTGTAAATTATCGGCAATATCTAATGTTAATGCAACAGCTAAAGTGGGCATTTTACAATTAGAAATGACTTGATCTCTTAATAATGGGGCATAAGTGGGATTTAGGCGACAGAAACGACATAAAATATCAATTCTTTTTTGAGATGCAGATTGATTTTCTTCTGTCTTGTCCGAATGGTAGATTAATCCTTGGCAAGCTAAGAAAATGAACATGATGATTGGAATTTACACTTGATGTAGTCTATCATTTGGTGAAAGGATAGATTTATTTTACGTTGATTTGAATAAATACTGTATTTAATAGCGAATTTAGATTTGCCATTTGCTCACTTTACCTTGATCGAATAAATATGGTAAATTCACGATTAATCTGCAAATGACTTCGGAGCCATTTTCTATCATTAACAGTGCTTCGATTACCTCATTAATTGGTAATGCGGAAGGCATCTCTGTATTAGTTAAAAAATTGAGTAAAAAGTAAAGCATGAAGAATTGAGTTGCAAGATATGACAATTATCAAGAGCGAAAGAAAATGAGCTATAGCAAAGTACAGTATATCATCGAGGAATTTCATTTTACTTTGCTGTTGTTATGTTGGCATCGAATTGATGCCTAAGTTCATACTTTTATGTCGTCTTACCTGCCACTAAAATACAGATAACATCCACAATTTCGTCCAGAAATTGGCAGTGATCGATCAAATTATCACCAGCGATAGCAGACGAAGGAAATTTAGACTAGATGATAACAAGCAAAAAATGAAGTTACGCTTGGTTTAACCTCTCTAGCTACTCTTTTAGAATAATGCCTTCTCGTCAGAAGCAATCATGGCGATATTATTCATCTTCATGCAGTCAATTGATATTTCCTATTGGTTCAGACTTATGATTGAGCCATACTAGTCTATCCAATGTGCTTACATTATAGATCAGTCTGATCGTTTCGTTTAGAACAAGTCGACAACGATTGAAACCTTCACTTCGTTCAAATTCTAATTCAATATTGTGATAGGGCATATATGATTCTGATTCTCGATGGGCTAGTTTCTTTCTAATTTCCAGCTCTCTTCCGGCTTCCTCATTTAATACTAAAAAATTGGATGAGGTCAAGCAATATTCGATCGAATTGCAAACTTGATATTGCAAAATGCAAGCAAGGATCGATTTGCGTGTGTTGCGTTGGCTGTGGTCGTTTACGGATTGGAATACATATCGTACTAGACAAGGTAGAATAATTCTAATCTCCTTTTCTTTCAAGTCTTGAATTTGGCTTGCATCGAAAGTGCGTACGATGGTTAATAGCTTGGAATAGAGAGCATCATTAGCCATGATTCTCATTTTCGACATATTCTGATTCAATCGGACGTTCTTGACTACTGTTGCCTAGTCTGCAGTACAGTACAGTAATAGTAGTTGGACAGTTACAGTACTGTACTGTATGCAGAATACAGTACAATCCGTCACCTGTACTGTAGCATGGTGATAGTACAGTACTGTACACTCATTCTACAGTATACTGTAGGACTGTACACTGTACACTAGTTGACGTGCTGCTATACTGAACCGTACCGTACCGTACCGGGCCTTAACCGACGCTCACTCTAAATATGAACTGGAGGTTAACCCTCGGCAATGCCTAGACTTGAAAGCAAGTCTCTGAATAGAAGACAACTTTTCGTTTCATATCGGTGTTGTTGTTCACTACAGTAATACAGTAAGTAGTTTGGAGAAAGCTACACGTTAGCTACTCTATCCAGCTCTCCGGCTTTATTCAGAAGTGACAACAACTGGATTGGACACAATCCAATAGACTTGTGTCTGTAGTATCTAGCGGACGACATCCAGTACATCTAGTGTTCTATCCGTAATATATACGGAATAATACAATGCTTATACAGTTTCATTTTTTACTACACAAAGTTCAAATTTTGTAGACACTCTTATCCATTCTTAACAGTACTGTACAACGGACTCTCTGAATATTGCATTTCGACAGTAGATTGAAATTGGAATTTTAAATTTAAATTTTATTCATTCGCCTGCTGCAATCCTCAACTCTGGCTCACAAAAAAACTTTTCGTAAATCGGTTTCGATGATTCATTCAAATACACAATTGTATATATAACTAATAACTGAATCCGTGGTAGTATAGTGGTGAGTATCCCCGCCTGTCACGCGGGAGACCGGGGTTCGATTCCCCGCCACGGAGCAGGTTCAATTTTTTTTTTTAATCGTGATAGTACTGGTATCGGCATGGACTACAGGACGGAACCGTGTAGTACTTACAGGACAGCGCACAGTATGCCGACTGGAGCCCATACTGGTACATTGTACTGTACGGTGCTGTACCAAACATTACAGTACAGCACTGTATAATTAATTATTAGACGATTTGCTTTTGCCGGGTGCGGTCAGCCAGTTACAGTGTACAGTACTGCACTTGTACCAGGGACTACTGCGTCTCAAAGTAGTCCTTGCTATCATGGCATGGACTACAGTGCTACAGTACAATGCAGTGCTACAGCATTGTACTGTACAGTACGGTACATTGTACAGTAGTGCAGTGAAGTGGAAAGAGACTCGGCTGGAAGGCCGGGCAGACACAAGAATCTTTAAGTAAACAGACATCTTTTAGCCAATTACTCGAGCAAGAGGCTACAAGCAGAAACTCTAGAAATCGAGTAGTTCCTGGCTATAGTTAAATAAAGAAATAAACAATTTCAGCGCATCGATCCATAAATGACAATGAGCTTTTAATTTTGTAAGTGTTTCACTCTACGGCACCGATGTTAGGCCGATCCAAAAGGATATTTAGTAGCCTAATATGATCATGGATGATCAAGTTGACAGTATACTGTACTACTAATGTACACTGTACAGTACTGCAATAGTTGAATACGAGCGAAGGAATGGCTATTGAAAATGATAATATTGCACGCCACTATTAAAGGCGGCAATTCCGTAAAACGCATTTAAGCGGAAGTGATGGTATACACTAGAGATCCTACAATTTGCGAGTCTTTAGATATACCATGGGCTATGTTAGGCCTCTGATAATATCGCACTTGGCGATCATCTTTATTAATCTAAACCATACCAGTTTACAGTATAAATAGATTTTAAATGCTTTCATACAAGTATCATAACAGAATTAAGATATTGGCATTATAGTTGATGCATCATCTACGCTCGTTAAATATTCCAATTCGCTGACGTTGGCTACATGTAATTCAATAAAAATTTGAACTGCAAAGAGTTGCACAATTAGTCTACAATCAATACCAGCTTCATACTCGTCAATTCTGAAGGGAACTGGAGAATTTCAATGACATCGTACATTAATTGGTACAATATTCAGTTGACTTAGCTTATCGTGGTAATATATTGGCAACATGGCAATTAGTGATGCAACATTATTGATAGAAGCAGTGGCCCGTGAGCTTTTGCAAATGCAAGCTTCAAAACGAAGATATTTTATAACCTATTGGACAACGATAAAATTAGCCTTCTCCGGAGTCACGATTTTAACCAGTATTATAATAATTGCAAATAAGGAAGGTGCCTCCATTGGTAGTTCGTCTTTAGCCCTAATCGGCGCTTTCATGGTATGTGAAATATTATCTTGATTGATCAAGGTTTGGCTTGCAATTGATAATTATTACTGGTATTATACCCGATTATATAATCATTTAGCAATTATTTGTTATTCAGTGTTCATAGCTCATTTTGGCTGCGGTAGTCAAGGATTGATCAATATACATATTTCTTATGTGAATTTTAGATGTTGATTAATAATGTTACTGCCATATTTAATCTTTAATGGTACAGTATAAATTAAGAATTTGAACAATCAAGCGCAGGCTACAATATAGAATATTAATGTTATTCTTGTGTAATCCTTCACTACTCCAATACCATTATTTAAATTTTATGCTGAAGTTTGAATTTATTTATAAACGATATTGTCAAAAAAATGGACCCTAGGTCTCAATTTAGGATCATCGATTATAATTATTTATAGTGAAATAATTGCTAGATTACAAATGATTACCTCAATATATGCCAATAGTTGTGTTACTATAGGTTCAATAGATCATTATATTCGATAAAGTAAATTTACGAACATGAAGAATACCGTAATATTGAACTAGAGTATAACCTTGTGCTGAGCTAGTATGTAGTCATTATTAATCTGAGAAAAAATCTCGGATCTCTAAATTTTTGCGTAATGTATCATTTAATTCTTTATCCATCTAAATATTCTAACTTATTTTTTGAATAAGTCAATCGCCAAATTAGTTATTAAATAAATATACCATTCTATGTAACTTCTACGATACCAGAATTTTAACAGGTTCTGAGCCGATGTATAACTAAACAGCGATAACAATCTTAAATGTATCTGTCCTATATATATATATTAGACAAAGTCATAGTTTATTATTCCTCATTAATGTAATGCTTTACTTTTTACAATTTCAGTCTGCCTTAACTACCTTGGCATGTTTTCTTTTAACATATTCCAATCGAGTTCTGAAATATTTCGCTAACCATGTAAGTGCAGCATTGTGATAAGATCGCGTTGGCTTATTTTTTTATTATGGTACAATGGCTTGACAATTCTAGTCGATTCGTGATCAACTTGGGTCATACTCGCTAAATCTGTAAATTCTTGATCTCTGCAATTTATTACCGTTTATTTACTGTATACCCATGTATTTTAAGAACCTAACTAAAACGTATTTAAATTATCTGTATTTAGGTTAACCTTTGCAGGCTTTGTCTTGCTATCGGAGAATTACCGCTAATAGTAGCATTTGGCTTTCAAATTTATCAAGTGATCACGCAATCCGATTCTATGAAAGTTCAATCTGCCACTATCGCTAATTTAATTACTACAGGCCTAATATTTATATCTGCATTCAGGGTTAATTATCTCATGAAATCATATGGCAAATTATTGGTGGTAAATGTATTGATAATTTAAAATACTATCGTATAATCGCACTTTCCTTTATTAATATTTTTTTACTTTAGAATGTTTTAAATTGATTCGATGTTAGAAATTTTTTTCTTTTTTCATCGTCCGTGCCCCTTTAATTATTATAAGATTTAAACAACTATCATGTAATGTTTCTTATTTCTAGTCCTTGGAACATTCGCGTCGTAACGCTATCACCGAGAGTACTACAGATACGACTATTACGAATACAGTTAGGGAGAATAGTGAAATACCCCCGGAATATGGCCAGCATGATCCCGAAAGGAACAGCGAATACTCTACAGGAACGAATCAAGAAAGTGAATCTACAGTCAATGTGATACTGAACCCATTTCAGGAGAGCCTTCTTTCCAATGAGAGTATTAATAAAGTACAGGATACTAGTGCCATACAGTCTTCCTCATCTAGTTCATCGATACTTGATGAAACTATTTTACCGGCAATACGTCCTCAGTATCATCAATTTAAAACTTCCGAGAGTAATCTAGAATGTTTTATAAACAGTAATCATAATAGTGAACCTACAATCAACCCAATTGTTTCTATGATTGAGAGCTTTAGTACCAGAATGATTTCATCATGGAGAAGCTATTACCAGCTCACTTATGATACTTAGAAAATTAAACATTAGGGAGTCACAATAAGTCGCTGTTGACAAGAAAACGAACATTGAAATTGTTACATGTACTTTCATAAATGAAATTTTTTCGTCTTCTTTTATTATTCTGTGTAACATTTCATCTTATAGAATAGCGTAACCAAATTAACAGAGTACATATGATAGTAACTTTATATTGAATCTTTAATTCTAGCCGCGCACACTGATTTTTTTTACTCTATGCAGTGTATGGGCTTTGAATGAATAAAGAACTTATAAATTTAAGTTTTTACGGATTAGCTTATGTTATAATATGCCAGTAGTAGATAATCTAACATCAATAACCCTTTATACGCGTATCTTTACAGTATTTGAAAAGACTATCGAAACTAAACACCTGGTACGATTAGGTATGAATAAAACCAATTTTGCGTTTTGCGAAGCTGTAGTAAACGTGTACGTAGTCTACGTCAATTCGCACTAGTATATTAAATTCCTCTATTGAAGTTCTACCGCAAAATTTTAAAGCCTTACTTGATTAAAAATAAACTATAGCTATACGCAAATATATAGTAGGAATGATTAATAAATAAAACCTCTCTAGTACTTTTACTTTTTAGTGTTGTATTTAATTTTTTATGTAATTCTACCCGATACCATGTTAAATATTAACCTAAAGAAACATAAATTATGACAATGGCATATGATGGAGGTAAATGTAATTGAAAATTTTTTTCATATTTGTAATAATGCATACAAATTTATGGAACTTACAATAAACTTTAGAAATTTCTTGACAGTCGCGTGCAATGTTACTAATACTGTAATGAAACTAAAATAGCTAGTAAGAAAACATGGTAATAACATCAATAGCAAAGCATGAAAATCTTCAACGAATTATTCAATGGCATTCTATTCTCTTTTTGTTGGGCTATAAACTAGTTATTGTTTAATTTATATCGCTTCAAATGATCATAACTATTTTATTAGCGCATTTCCAGATGGAAAAACATTTTTTAATATTTAAAGCTACTAGTTGATGGTGAAGTTACCAAATTAGCTGCCATGTCTTTTACTTTGTCTATGTCACGACTTACGAAGATGCAGTGCATACATTGCATCTTTTGCAGAATATTTTGCGAATAGGATCGGATATTTCTTTAATAAAATAGCCGTAAACAATAGAATTTATAATAATGTAGCTAAGAGCTAGGTACCTCAATCTTTTTACTACATCATGAAGTTTTTGTAGGGCTTTTCCTCCAACATTCGATATCTGGAGAAATATTCTTAGGGCTAAACTAATAGTAAGAGGAAGCCATGTTAGGCAATAAAGCACTACCAACAAGCCAAGCAAACATGCGATGCGTGTATGTTTTCGAATAGATTTTAAATTACTACCAAATTTACCATTCAGGTTACTAAAATTTCTGGTGGCAATTTTGTAGACATTATAATAACAGATAGCCATGATAGTTACTGGTATGATAACGAAGAAAACAAAGTGGCCCATACGAAATAGAATTTCTTTAATGGGCCTTGGATTGCTGACTGATTTGCAAGTACTCTGTGAATCATACCGAAATATAATCAAAGGTAGGATACCAGCAAAAATAGTTAGTATCCAAATGATCGTAACTGCTAAAATAGCGTATCTTGATCTTGAATATATTCGATAGCGAAATGGAAATTTCATTGCCAATAATTTGTCTAAACTAGCTACCATTAAATGTAAATTGACAACACTACTGCAGATGAAATTAATACTCTTTATTATATCGCAATAAACCCAAATGCCATCGTAACCTAGATCGAACCAATAAACAATAACGTACAACGCAGCATAGGCTATATCACTAAAGAATAAACTTCCCATAATAGTATTAGTTGTTGAATGTAATTTTTTTCTAGCAATAATCACTACCAATAGGCTACCATTAAGTATGATTGCTATAGAACCAGTAATAGCCCGTATTAGCAAATCAGTTGAAGTAATAGAGGATTTCTGGAGAGTAGAAACTGTAGCAATAGTTTGATTCGCTGTATTAGACGACATCGTGAAAGTATAATTACGTCTGCATTGATAAGAAGACAAGATTGGACGAACTAATACGACTTGAGACGAGAAGTTATTATTTCTCGTAAAATATCTTGGTGGTGATAAAGGTAGGTTGTTTTTAGACAAGAAAAATCAGAGTCAGAGCTTGCTTCAATTCTGAAAACTTACTTTTAACCTGCAACAGTCCTTGTGATTATATTCATTGCAAGAGTAATTGCAAACGATATTATATCCGTTTATTTACAGTTAATAATTAATGCAATTTTATACTTTTAGATTGACATTTTATAAATAATTTGACAAAAGCTAAGGTCTTCTATGCCAAGATAAAGCAAGCATTCTTCGAAGAGGTAAAAATCGAAATAGAAGCCAACTCTTTTCAATTAATTACCTTGTGTCAGCAATATTAAAATTGTGTAATAATGTTTGATATTCGAATCTATAGAGTTCTCCTAACTTAAGTTAAATCATTAATGATAGAAATTTAAAACATTTGTGATGATAATACTGGTTGCGCTAATCATTTACAAGGTTCCAGTATTTATTGTTGAATTATTATTAGTCATAGTCAACCCTAGGGATATCATCAAGTTAGCTAGACAATATCTTACTAATGGTACATATCTGCATGGATTATGTGGAAAAATACGCTGATATATAATCATATATTACTATTTTTATAGTTAGATGCTTATTTATCTTTAAGTATTTTAAAGTATCAATATGTAACGCTTTTACTGACCAGATAGAATATTAAATTAATTAGTCGATTAATTAATATGTAACAAAAAAATACACAATTGATTACTTCTTATGCAAGATATCAAATATCGCAACCCGTCTACCATGTTATTAAATTTACCATGCGATAGATGAAATATTATCGTTGTTTGTCGTCATTATTTATTAACTTTAGTAGTATTTACCAGGAAACTAATAAGAAAGACGGACAGATATTAATAAATTAAAAATCGATTTATAAATCATGTCCCTTTTCGTCCATTTAGACTAGATTTGAACCAGGGGCACCTTTCTTAACCGTAAATTCATTCCATTTAAAATCACTATTTTTCTTGTTATAACTTTCAATTGGACGGCAATTGCTGAATAACTGGTCCTATTCCTTATTTCATAACTCAATAACTACCGCGATTCATTGACGGAAAAAACTCCAATAGTTCGTATAAAGGATATAGTAAATATAGCTTAATATGATTGAAGGCCATTACCTGTCCGCGTCTACTTTTCATGATGGACGAGAAACAAATCTCACGAAAAGTTACAGTATTCTCAGCGGATCGCTTATCCAAATGGTTACTATAAATTAGGCTACTCTTCTAATAATAATTCCTTTCTAATCATTTCTCCAAGGAATTTCGTAATCGTGCACGTAAAAGTGTAGCCGAGCTGATATACTAGAAATAGTAGACATATAAGCCCTAATTGCTGTTATTATTTCTTTTTCTTCCTCTATATATCGTATATGATAGAGGATACAATTCTCCTTTATTTACTTTTCAATCATCTTCTCTGGGTACCATAATGATTAGTGTTCCTTAACCGAGTGATTTAAATAAGATTGAAAGTACGGTAACTTTATTTTTTACATCATCTCATCAATATCAACAAAGTTAAATTCTGTAAAACTTCAAATATGAACAATCTTTACTTACTATATAAATAATTGCCAAATCTGTTTTGTGCCTGTAAAGGATGTCTTCCAAAAATGGCTAAATGCTCCATGAGCAATAAGTATTTTTGGGAATTAGAGAATACAAATATGGTGTGATCTATCTTTAGAAGCAAGTAGCATACTTGAGGGAAATCTCTTTTAATTACAAGTTGTTGACGTAAGTAGATCAAGATTAGAATTGAAATTTAAAATAGAATCTTGTAATTTTGACTTGATTAGCCAGGTTAGCTTCTTCTATAAATAAACTTTGCAATTTCGAAAATAGAGTGAAGTCGTGTGGTGGTGTTTTAGAAAGAGTAAAGAAATTCTATTAGCAAGATAGCGCTTTAGTACTTTTACAATTTTATCTAGTACAAAATGAATATGAGAGATAATGAAGAATTAAGCCGGGAGGATATGTCTATTACTCTGCATCACATCCTCCCATCAAAGATAGTGAAATCTTTACTCTGCATTAGCGTAATCAAGTTAATCTTAGGTATCCTTATTCTATCAGTTAGTACCTGGTTTATGGTCAATCAGAAATTCTCCATGTCCGGAATTGTTATTATTTCCACAGCCGGTGGAATGACTGTACGTAAGTTATCAATAATTGACATTTACAGTAGGGAGGTACAGTGTCATAACGTAGCCTATTTTAAATTTTCTTTTTCGGAATGTATTGATCGGATCTTCCTAATAGTCGGTCATGGTTACACTGCTAAATTTAACTGTTCTACGAACCAAATATTTTTGGGATACCTACCTTAGAAATGTAAGTGGATTTGGATGTCTTGAATGAGAATGTTTAATTCTTCGTATGAAAAGCTTCATTTTTTGAACAATAAATTCGAATTTACTCCAAGGTTTTTATTTTAGGATAGCATTTAAAAGATATTTATTATCCATTTTATAGACAATGCTTGTTGGAATTGGTCAATTATTTCTTGGGGAATTAACAGTATCTATTGCGATGTATCTACATATGAGCGAATTAAAACCTGGTCCTCATAAACAGATTAAACTTTTTGTAACCCATATTCTCTACATTTTCTTTGGTATTTTCTTGCTAGCTGCAGCCTTAGAAAATGTCAGACGATTAATAAGATTTAAATTGCCTAGCAATGTAAGGATATATGTAGTGGGAACGAACTGTTTTCTTCTATAAAGTGATAAATACGCCTATAGTATCCATTTCCTGAATTTTGTGACAACTAGTTGCTTTTTTCCTACTGATTGCTATCGATCGCTGAAAAATCTCACCTAATGGGGACTGTTCCATTTTCTCTTAATAGGTTATCGTTCCATTGCAATCTCTGGATAGTAACCGCAATGATGGGAATTTGCCCATTGAAAGGCAGTTAGGTGTTAGCGTCGGAAATGAACATGAGATATTAAATCCTGAAGCAAGATGCAATGATACTAATTCGCAAACTCATCGCGAAATGGGATCATCGTCGCCTAATTTTCATGAACATTCCTCAGATATTCTACCTTCCTATGACGAAGCAACCAATAAGATTCGTCAAGATTCGCCTTCCGATGATAAAGGGGGTCCAGTTTTATCTCCGTTTGAATCAACGCTAACAGTCAGGGCTGTAACTGAATGCTCAAGCCCTTATTGCGAAACTACTGTGTGAACACCGTCTATAGAATTGATATAAAGAAATTCTTCAGCCTTATTCCTTGGTAGTTTTAATCCGCGCTTGTGTGATGTATATTGTGACAACTATTTCTAATTTTTCGACTTAAGCCATTTATGACAGGATCGACTTTATATTTGATTAGCAGATGACTATACTAAGGAAGCCACTATGTTTTGGTATACTTTAATGCATATATGTATCATTTTTAGTCGATACAGTTAGGTATCTAAATGGTTACTCTTCTTGTTGGATTAAAGTACAGACGCAACAAAGGTTAATTTCTGATGTTAATTGCTATTAGAAGAATAATTAGATCTAATGTGTTATTTACTGTTTAACCTACGCACTTATCAGTACTATAATATCTACCAGGAATTAGTTATTGTACTAGTAAGAATATAGTCGGGCATGTCCTATTAACTTCTTCAGCTCTTAAAGTTGAAGGAATTCATCATGAAATAAAGTTTAAAAGTCAATCAAGTAGCTATTCCATTTTAATAGCAGCAACTTATGTAGAACAGGTTTACCATCAACCCGTTGAAATAATTTCCTTCTAAACTCTATGGTAAATAATACTTCAATTTTTTTTACACTACATAAGATTTAATCGTCTAACTTGAGTTTGTGAGTTCAGTAGAATCGATGGTAATGTAATTATTAGGGCAATATATCAAGCCTGATAATATAATCTGAACATGTGAAGATTACATACTTCGTCAACAAAGTGGCAATAATATTTAAAGTTTTAGAACACAGGACAGAGTGCAAGCATTATGCTAACAGTATACCTGCTTTAAACAGTCTCGTTAAAAAAATAGATCATGAAACTTAACGGTCACAACGCCAGCCATTCTGGAATCAGTATAATACTAATGATTACAAAAGAGTTTAGAAACAATCCTTAATTACTCGCAGTAAAACAAATGCAAACTTTACGGTAATGTGACAAGGTGTGGTAGAATTAGGCCGGCATAATAATAACTTACAGGTGCAATCTTAAATATAAAGTCGCGGTTTGAGTAATATCACAGCTAGG